AACCTGTTGGAAACATGACATACAACACAGCAGAAAAAGCATATCATGGCTATTAATTAAAATTAATTAAAATCTAGAATTATACCTGAAACGCTTTCCGAATTTCTATAATAATCTGATCCGAGATCAATCTGAAAAAGCTTCCTCAAGAGAAAAAATCTCCAATTGAAATCTACCCGTCATCGAAGAGAAGCAATATTGAGAGATAGGTTCTCAAATTTCTATTTCTTCATATTATATTCATAAGATTTTCTGTCTCTTCATAAGACTACATATGAACTCTATTTATAGGATTAGACCAGTCTTAGATATTTTAATTTGTGGGCATTATAATCTTCTTTAATTAATCAAAGAATTGTGTGGTGTGGCTCCCGAGGACGTAGGCACGTTGCCGAACCTCGTTAAATCTAGTGTGTTCTTTCTTATTTATCTTTCCTGTAATTTTTTTTTATTTGTGGTAATTTTCCTACTTGCTAAACTCTTAGCACAAGATCCGAAAGGGCACGAGTTCGATTAATTGTTTCGAATCCCTAACAACTGGTATCAGAGCTTCGTTCAGAAGATTTGTGCGAGAGCCATGGAAGAGGAAAGCAAATCAATAATCGAGAAGTTTGACGGATCAGACTTCGCCTACTGGAAGTCACAGATGGAGGACTATCTGTACCAGAAGGATCTTTACCGTCTGTTGATAGACAAGGCTAAGGGAAAGAAGAAGGAGGGATCAAACGAAGAGTGAGAAATACTGAATAGGAAGGCTTTAGAGAAAATCAGGTTGTCGCTCGCCAAATCAGTCACTCATAATATATTGAAGGAGAAGACGATGTTGGGGCTTATGGAAGCGCTCGTGAAGATGTACGAGCAATCGTCAGCCGTAAACAAGGTGCATCTCGTCAAAACGCTCTTTAACCTCAAGATGGCAATAGGATGCTCCTTCACGATGCACCTCAGCGAGTTCAACATGATTGTTGATCAACTTATCTCCGTGGACATCACGTTTGATGACGAAGTGCATGCTCTATTGATTCTATCGTAGTTGTCGGATAGTTAGGCATGTTGTGTGACTGTAATTAGCAGCTCGGTGGGGAAGGAGACGTTGAAGCTGATCGAGGTTGTTAGCATGATTCTATCCGATGAGGTTAGAAGGAAATCGTCTGAATCAGAAGGTTCATATCCATCCCTAAATCTCGAGCAGAGCGGCTGAAGCCAAATGAAGGGTAACCAGAACATGAATCGATTGAAGTCAAAGAAGAAGATGTCGAACTTGAAAGTTAGGCCTATCAAAGGGAAGTGTTGGAACTGCAGCCAGGTGGGCCATATGTCTTTAGTCTGTAAAGCACAAAAGAAGGATGCAAATGAGCAGGAGGCTCATATCGTGCAAGATGTATTGATCCTTGTTATGGATAGTGATTATGATTCATGGGTAATTGATTGAGGAGCATATTTCCACATCACTACTAATAGGAAGCTTATTCAGAACTATATAGCAGGGGACTTTGGGAAAGTGTACTTGGGGGACAACGAACCTTGCAGTATTGTTGGAAGAGGAGACATGCAGATTTAGATAAAGGGCTCCAAGTGGAATATGAAGAACATCAGACACGTACCGAAGCTGAAAAGGAATCTTGTTTCTGTTGGCCAGCTTGGAGCAGAAGGCAATGTTTCAATATTCATCGGGGATTCGTGGAAAATCTTCAATGATACTATGGTAGTTACCGACGGCAACAAAACAGGAACGCTCTACCTCACTTCACATGCGAGTGATATCCTCGTAATTGCAGCTGGCAAGGAGAGTGTAGATCTGTGGCACAATAGGCTGAGTGAGAAGGGAATGAAGATTCTACACTCATAGGGAAAGCTAACCAGCATCGATTCTATGGAAGTTGGTGTTTGCAAGGACTGCATCTACGGAAGTAGAAGATGGTCAGCTTTCAGAAGGGAGGAAGACCACCTAAAGCTCAGAAGCTAGAGCTTGTTCATACAGATATATGGGGCCCAGCTAGCGTATCTTCTCTGTTGGATATCTTGACCCCAAGATATGTTTATTTTGATGATAACAAATATTATATGTTATGTGTATTATGTGCTAACGTATGT